AGAGAGAGAGAGAGAGAGAGAGAGAGAGAGAGAGAGAGAGAGAGAGAGAGAGAGTCATCCTAGAAAGTCACTGGTTCAATCCCCCGTTCCAGCTGTCTCAGTTGTTGTGTCCTTGGGCAAGATACTTCACCCCTAATGCCTCTGATGTGTGTCCCATCAGTGTATGAATGTGATTATCACTGATTAGTCTCCATAGACGATTGTTAGGAGATCTAGTAGAGTGCTGTGTGAATGGGTAAATGAGGGCACAGATTGTAGTGGAAAGCACTTTGAGTATCCTGAGTGGGTAGAAAGGCACTTTACAAATACATTACCATTTCCATCCTTTTCTCTTTATCATAGTCTGCTGCTAATGTCAGCCACGATAAATTAATAACAGAAAGGGAAATGAGTTCTGACATAAATAACTAAAGGATAGTGTGTTGGTGGTCAAAGGGTTACTTACTTTACTTACTCTTTGATAAAATCAAAAACAAGCAAACACTTTTCCCTTTTTCTTTGTTCATTTAGCAGGAAATTAAGTCCACATTTGAATAAAGTGTGAAGAGATGACAGTGTGCTTCTGAGGTTTGCTCATGTAAAAAGCATCTCAGTTCAATATTTAGTTTGACCTGCCTAAAAAAAACACATCATACTTCAGAYATCTCTGAAAAAGGAACTCCTGCATCATCCACAGTTTGGCTGCTCTTATTATAAAAGCTTAACTTTATCATATTTGATAATACACTTATTTGGTGACATCTTCACTTATATGAAACAAGGCTGAGCTGAAGCTCCTCTAAACTTTCTCTTTTTAATTAATACCCCCCCGACCCCACCCCATTTTAAAGGGCCCACCCCGCGGTGCTCAGTGGGTTCTGCTGCGCCAAACGGAAAGGGTTCTGCCGCAGGGGGTCTGCGTCAACTCTGCTGGGTACATTGCCCACTTTTGTTGTGGCTTTTCAGCTCGCAGGCAAGAAAAGAAAAACGGGAGGATGGACCGTGAAAGTAGGAACGAATTGGTAAAAAAATAAAATAAAGTGCCACTTAGCGCGGCATCTGGCGCGATGTGGGAGCGGAACGCTGACACCAAACAAATTGACAATTTCATACCAATTTCAGCTGCTGTGCACCACACACGATGGGCCTGCAGTTACACCCGAGAGATGGAGGGCTTTGACATGAAAAATCACAAAAAAATAAACCATTGACCCATAGGTTCTGTTTTGAAATTTAAAAAATTGAGTTTGCTTAGAGTTTTTTTATTATCATTATTATTTTTTTATATATTTTTTATTTTTTTATTTTTATTTTTTGCTGATGGAGCAGGTTTTTTTAAAGAAAATATAAAGCGAGGAAAATTGGAGGAACGCCCCGAGGCTTTTCACTTGCAGTTTTCAATTTTCCACTTTGCTCAGATAAAGGGGAAACCCTGGGAAAAGCTTGACCAGCAACTGGTCCATCCTTTTGAGTCCAACATAAAAACCCAACACTGTTTATGTTTGGTGGCCATRTGGAGATTAAAAGAGTCAAGAGACTTTTTTTATTTGATTTTTTGTGCAAAGCTGCTCTTTGTCCACCCTATCTCCCAGAGAAATTCATGTTCAGGCTGTATTTTGTTGTAATTAATTAGCGTGAGTTTTGATAGTTTAATTTCAAATCAGAACTTGGTCATGTTTGTTAGACACACACTGAGCACCAAAGGCTGCTTGTTTTTTTTTTTTTCTCATTCAAATCTCTCTCCAGTCCACCAGAAGAAATGGCAGATGTTTTGCAATTCAAGGCGCATCAATGCCCGCGCGCTTTTTCAGGCCCGAACAATGGCCGCGCTCCCTTTTGTCAGCCTCCTGTGTCTTTCAGCTCCGCGCTCAGACAAAAGCCTTCATCCTCCGGCGAGTTATAAAGTTACTTTCCAGTCAGTTCATTTCGGCTCTTGGGAAAGCCCTCAGCGATGGTAATGTGCGCCTCCGCTCCTTTCACGCGCTCACCCCGACACACAGAGGCGAACACGGCTCATTGTGTCCCCGCACCAAAGTAAGAAGTCTTTAAATAACCCCCAGGACCAGTCTATAGAAATTCATGGTGCTATTTTCTGTTTGATCTTCGGATCACAGCCACGTCAGCGCGTCCGTCGCGTGGCTTTTCATGAAATCCTCCAAATATTTTTATTTTTTTCCACCTCCCACCCCCATAGGAAACACCTGTCCACCTGTTCCTTTTCTCGTTGAGGCCTTGTTGCACACATAGGRGTTTTGGTCACACCAGCGCAACCTCGAGAGCGGCTGAATAGAAGGCGGTGCGTCAATTTGATGCGCTCTGAGCCAAAGTATGGCCCAGTGGCGCACACATATAGAAGCCAAAAAGAACTTTTTAACATATATAATAGTTTGCAGAATGCATCACTTTAACTTCTTAATTTGTTTTTTGTTTTGTTCTGTGTGAATTTTGCACGTTTCCACCGAGTTCAGCCTATTTATTGGTCTATTTTATGTTTGCTATTGGTTTGCAAATGTATCATTTCCCCCCCTCAGACGGGAAAATAGTTTATTGCAGTAATTGCATAATTGCCGCACTAATTGTTGTAAACAAGTCCTCCAATAGCCCAATTATTACTGCTGCACTAGCTCTCCTCCGGCGGGAATCCATGACAAAAGGTCTGATGGGGTTAATGAATGACCTGTAGTTGAAAAGTGACAGTGAGGTGGGTGAAAAAGCCCTTCTTCCCCCCGTTTTTTTTTTTTTACTTGTCATGTAATGGCGCTGGCATTAGTGCGTCTATTTGACGCACAAGCGTCTTGCTGCGCCATTCTCATGGATAGATGATGGCCTCCCAACTTTTTGACGGAGCACTCTGCAGCGGAGCACGCGCGTTAGCAGCCCCTCTGTTCTTTGACCCACGCAAAGAGAAGAGCCAACACTAATTGAAATTATAGCGCGTAATAAGCGGTGAAATCTCTCGGCTTCACGCTGAAATCAGCCCTCCACGGTCCTGTGATAGTAATAATAAAAAAGCAGGCGTGAAAACCCAGATAATAGTGACGCAGTGACTGATGGGACAAAGGACACCAGAGAAAGCACCAGGAGCATCCCGAGCAGATTTCATACCGATTAAACGCTCCTGTTGGTGGTGGCGCGAACGTGGAAGGCAATTTTACGCAATTAGTGTTTCTTAAACAGGCTTGAAAGAGAAACACTAATTGCGTAAAGCTGTCAATTTGTAGATGGTGTGAGTGTGGATATGTAATACCACTGACCATTACTGAAATAGCAGATGTTTTTGTTGCAGATACGGAGTATTTGTGTGTTTCGGTTTGTTTTTACGCGTAAAGGAAACCTTCAGGTCACCGCTGCATATAAAAGATCAATGGCCCTGCTGTAAAGTGGCTTCCTTTCACGCGCCCTTTCACTTGACTGAACAGAAATATGCTTCCCTTTTCAACAGTTATTTTATGACAACTGTTGTGTGACTTGGAGGCAAGAAATACGGACAGAGTTTCAATTTAAATGTAACAAAAGCTGCTATTGTGTCATTTTTTTAGTGTTTGTCAGCAAGAGATGCGCAGAAGAGCGCAGGGAGCTTGACGTCCACGCATTGTTTCAGCTGGTTTGACTTTCCCAAGACTTAACTCTTTTCAGGGAGCAGTGTGGAGAATCGGGAGGCGAGGGTCTAAGAACAAGGGGGCGTCCTACGATTCTCCTCGGTGCCTCTCTGAGCCGCGGCACCAAGACAAAAAGCAGTGACGCACAAAAGCCAACGAATTTCAAAAGTCTAAAAGTGTCTTTAAAGATATTAAAACATGTTCTTTTTTTTATTCTCAACACCAAGAACTTCTGTTTGTTTTCTGATCGAAATTAAAATTGTCTTAACTTTTTCATTGTGATAAGACCTTTCAGCTTCAGAAGGTTTTCACCAGAATTCACCAGAAAATCGAAATTTGTTGAGAACATGAAGGGAATTGTCACGGTGCTGCCTTCAACCAGGTGGCGTGAAACGCACATATAAAAGATTGAATCACACGAGTCAACAGTTCTTTCCCTGTACAAGAAACAGAACCGTTTTTGGATGTTTTTATCATTTTTACGCTTTTGGGGTTTTTTCGCCCCACGCGTTGACTGTAAGGAGCAGAAACACCAAACCCTGCTGCATATTATGACAATGAGATTAGCTGTTTTTCAGAATATATCAATTCAATTCAATTCAAAAATACTTTACAGATCYCAGAAGGAAATTAGGTGTTGTTGTAACTCATTTAACTAAAAACTTAGATGCTGATGGCTGTGGGCAGGAAAGATCTTCTGTAGACAAATGCGAGTGTGAAAGTTTAGTTTTATCACCTATGTGYTCTGTTAGGTACTGTAAACACTGAATAAAGAGAAATGTGTCCAGGTGGTTTGTTGTTTTCAATAATAAAAAGTCCATATGATTTTAAACTTGTTTATCTAAACTGGGAGATGCTGTGTCCTCTTTGGTTCGAGCTGCTAAATGATGCGCGTAAAGTGCTCACTTGAGCGCAACAGACAGGCGGCTCTTTTCGCATTGAGATGTTAAGCGGGGGGTCTCTATATAAATCTACTCCGGATGAACTCCCTCATTCTTGACGCAGAGAGGGAGAAGGAGATTAAACTTTGAAGAAAGTGAGAATGGTGGCAAACACAGGCTGCKCGGAGAAGGCCAAACATGCTAAGGTTTGGAAAAGTTTTTGTTTGGACTCAATGAAATTTAAATGAAACTAGAATCATCAAAGTTTATTTATTAAAAATGACTTGTTTTTTTTAACAGGTGTCCAAACCGCTGATGGAAAAGAAGAGAAGAGCTCGAATAAACCAGTGTTTGGATGAGTTGAAGCGTCTCCTGGAGAGTTTCTACAGCAGCAGTGTGAGTGTGCAGCCAGGATCTAAAGCCTCTTTTTATTCACTTCTGTCAATTGCGATTAGTTTTAAAGTGATGGTCTTTGCTAAAAGAGAAATGTTAAAATCTATCTGATCAGATTCGAAAGCGCAAGCTGGAGAAGGCCGACATCCTGGAGCTCACAGTGAAACACCTGAGGACCCTTCAGAGAACACACAGCTGTGAGTTCTGACCCTCCTCCAAGCAGGGTTTCATCATTGTGCAGCTTGATTATTAT